TAGCATTTATGTTCCTAAATTTTTTTAACGCATTCTTATCCTTAACCTTCCATTAATTAATATATTCTGACTCTGATAAATATTTTCGTTCAGCAAATTTGTTGAGAGGATATAAAATGGCTTATTTTTCAATCCTTTTTAAAAAAAATAATAATAAATACTAAAATACGAAAAAGTATTTCTCTTTCATTTTAAAGTATACAAATAGAAAATTTCAAAAGAAATCATAATCAAATACGAGATGTGATAATTAATGGAAAGTTGAAAATAAGAATTCGGTAAAAAAAGTTAAGCATATTAATCTTACAATGAGCAAAAGTTGATGACCTTAACTGCAACTAAATTGTGATTTGATAGACAAAAATTATGGTGTAAATATAATTATCATAAGTTACAATCGATGATAGAGCTATGTAGGTATAGAGTGGGATTATCTCGCTTGATTAGTCTGAGAAGGTTGGGTGATATCTGATAAATTTTCGAGCTTAAAAGTTTGTTATTTAATATTTCTCGTTATTAGGTTAATTTTTTACACCTCTAGTTAATGAAAGAAATAAAATTAATTTCTATTATTTCAACACATCAATTAACACTATTCGTAAATTACCTCTCACTTGGTGTAATTTTCTATATCGAAGAGTAAAGCTACTCTTTAAGATTTTGATACTATTTTTCACTTCATTTTCTTTTCTTTTCTTTTAATATACTCATTGATTTTCTTTTTCGACATTGATGGTTGTTTTTTTGTCTGCCTAAAGTGGAATCTGGTGTAGCGCCTTTAAGTGGGCAAACATGGATTATGGAATTTTGTGTTCATTGCGGGGGACTGAACATTGTAATTTGCGTTCCATTTTAATTAAAATTAACCTCTATGTAAGGGTAATTTGTCCATTACACTTAAAGAATAAATAATTATAGAAGTACAATCAAATATTTTTTCTTATTTTAAAGCAAACGAACGAAACATTTTAACAAAATCTATCATCAACGATAGAATGTTGTACTTAATGAAAAATTAAATATAAGAATTCGACAAAAAAATTAGGAACTTAAGTGCTACAATGGACAAAGTTGAGGACCTCAAATTCAATTAAAATGTGATTTATCAAATAAAACTGCGATAGCAATCTAAGCACTCTAGTCCCTATATCTAATATTTATGGTGTTCATTTGTTCAATTATAGTGTGAGTATTACTTCTATACTTTGTGTGTCTTCAAAGCATCTTTCTTTTCTTTTTGTGAACCAAGTTTTAGAGGCCAAGGAGCCAAGTTCTCCTCCTGCTTTTATTTCGTTTCATTATCCATAAAATAGGCTCAAGTATCCAAACCCTTTAGGTAGAAGCTAAAAAATGATTTTCATTTTAAAGAAAACTTGATTTGATGCAAAAGATGTAAACTAGAGGTGAAGAGAGACGAGAAAGGGAGGAGATAAAGTGTAAAGAGAGATTGAGATGAATTCATATGGGAGCAATAATCAATTATGTTGAAAATTAAAATGAATGGACTAATTATTTAAAGGCCGAGTCTAGATTTTTCTTTGATATCAAACTAGATTACTCCACTTCGCTACTTGATCAACCATTCAATGTTATCTGCAAAATTACCTCACTTTTACTCAAGTCTTGTTTGGAAGAACCATGTATCCTCATAATTTAGATTTTTTAAATGGAAAAAACTCGTACATAATAAAATATCTGGATACAATAAGCAATGATGGTTAAACCTTAGAGAAGAGTTTTTTTTTTTTTTTTTTTGGCCCTTCTTACTATGTGTGGTATTCTTTAATTAAATACTTCATGAGCTAATAAGTTTTACGAATAGAATCCAATAAGCCCTCTAACTTTAGATATAGATATGATTTTTGAATTACTTTTTTATATCTTTAGTCAATAAAAGAGGTTACATTTAGTTAAATTTTGCATTCAACATGACTTGTTTCGTGCAACTTTAATTTAATTTTTAATACACCTTTTTTTTGGTAAGAATTTGTTCCTTTCTTGAAGTTAGCGGTGCTTTGTAAAGATCAAGTTCGTGCTTATTATGAGATTGTCTAAAATACGGCATGAGTTCAGCCCAAATCGTCGTTGATTCTATAGACCCCTTGACCCAATCACGAACAAATATTGTGGGCCGATCTCAAACCAATATCAATGGATTAAATCATTCCGAATCTAAATGGCTTTAAACTAGAAATCTAGTGTAACACGATATCTTTATAGCACATCAATGTGTAAACATGCTCAATTCGAGCCAGTCTTGATTTAATATTTTATCATTCTCAAATCTTAATACAAAATTAATATAAAAGGCTTGTGAAGAAACACAATGTGCTCATGGAATTGGACTTTAGAATTGGAAAGTTCTGTTTAATTTGAAACAGTTACATATGAATTCTGATTTGCCATTTCAGAAAGAAATGCCCTTGAATACTTTGTGCAGGACTGGAAGACCGAGAGTTAAAAA